CTCTTCAGAACCTATCTTGCATATTTATAAGTCTACCATTCATCCATGCTTAGAATATTGCTGCCATTTATGACCTGGTGCTCCTGTTATATATTTAGAAATGTTTGATAAAATCCAAAGAAGAATCAGCAATATTATTGGTCCTGACCTGGCATCTCAGCTTTAGTCACATTCCCACTGTATCTTTCCTATAAATATTTTCATGGTAATTATTTTGATGAAATTTCCTCTAGGTATCTAGACTTTATGGCTTTAAGGGCAATACTAAACTAGCAACAAGTTCTACTCATTTTACAGGTTAAATGATTAGATGTAACCGCAAGTTCCCTGGTAATAGTTTATTCTATAGCACTTCTCGTTTGTTGAATTCTGTTCCAGCATCTTACTTCCCAGTCATCTTCAAAAATTTAAATGCAATGTCAGTTATTATCTTCTGTTTTTGCTACTTCTTATTCTATTGTTTTCTTTTGTTAATAGTAATTTTCCTCATATTCTTTAACACTCAGTAACCCCTTCTATGTTAGCGGCTTTATTATCTTTCTTCAGATGAAATGATTAAAACATTTTTTTTAAATTCAGGAAAGGTTACTAAATCTGTCAGTAATATAAACATGTCTGAGTGGGTACAATGGCTAAAATGCTCAGTTTTTTCTCAAATCTTTTTACCTATGGACTCCGTTGATTCCTATTTTACTCTGGTGCCCCACCCCACCATAAACATTCAATGTTCAAAAAATCTTATTGTATTTTTAAAATTAAATGTTATTAGGAATTGTATAAGATATTGTTAAAATATTTTGTGTATTGTAAAATACTGGGTGTTCATAAATTATCTGTACAATTTTTAAAATTTCTTAAAAATGAAAAATTCATGATAATGCTACAGGGAAAACTTAAGTAAACAAATACAGTTTTATTTAAGCATATCAGAACACTTCAACATCATCTCAATTGATTGCAAGACATCTGTTCCAGCACACAACACATCTAGGCAACACTTAATTTCTGTTTTCTATAAGATACTTTCCATTCACATAGACCTCAGATGCTAATGTGACTTGGTGTTTATTTATACTTTCTATTGTAATTTAGATGGTCCTGAATGTCCATTCTGGTCTCTATGAAACAATAGATTCATGACACTTTCTTTTGCAGTATTTTTTTTTTCATCAAAACTCAGGGATCAATAATAACTTTTAACATCTACATAAAGACAAATGAAAATAGATAAAAAACTATACATAAATTATAACTTAAATAGTATTTCTTTAACATGTAAAGAAATGTATTGATTGTTCTTAATTCTCTAATGGATACAATAAACTGTGCAAATTGTACAGATAATTTGTGGACACCTTGTATAACTAATTTATTGCATGTAAACTTTAACAACTAGGTAAATGAATGTTAATGTTTGCTAGTAAAATAAGTCATAAAGATAAAATTAAATGATAGGATAAAGAACAAGTAGGAAACAGATCTTAATCTAACATGTTTCACTTTATTAAAGCTTTGTCAGAGATCAAGATAGAAATGACAAAAAAATGATAAAAGGCAAAGAGACACAAATTAATGGTATCTTGTTTGGTTATTTATTGTTTGGTTAGATATGTGTCACGTGTAATCAAGTAACAGATAATATTCAAATAAGTGTAAGAAAAAACTCTGGATGCTAAAGTGTGTAAAAGTTAGTGAGACACTGCAGAATGTTTTAAAAATTTTTTGTTTGGTTAGATTTTTCAATAAGGTATATCTTGTGTGCATTTTGTATATATAATGATTTTTATGTATTTGGAAAAGATAAGTTAGATTCATGAATAATGGATCTGTAGAAAAATACTGAAGTAATGTAGTTTTTTAAACATGTGTTGATATATATATATATATATATATATATATATATATTATCTGATTTAAAATATGTTTTTTTTTCGCAACAGAGTTCTAACCATTTAAAAATGGAAGCTAAAAGCTTTGAATTTAATTTAGTAATTAAATTAAAAACATTAGCTTCCATTAGACTTTTAGCTTCCATTTTTGAAACATGGTTAGAACTCTGTAGCAAAAAATCATATTTTAAATCAGTTAATTTATAATATTAATGCTCTGTAAATTTACATTTTGTAAAAATAAAAATAACTATAAGAACACCAGATTATATATCTTACTGTTCTTTCTTTATATATATATATATATATATATATATATATATATGTTTTCTGGATATTAAAGTATGTAACGATTAGTGAGACACTGCAGGATATTTTAAACAATTTTTCAATAGAATATATCTTGTGCATGTTTTGTATATATATTTATTTTTAGGTATTCAGATTAGTTTGATTCATGAATAATGGATCTGTAAAAAAATGGTGATGTAATGTAGTTTTTTAAACATGTGTTAATAGTTGGTAATATTGCAATGAATATGTTTTCATAATATTTTCTCTTTAAAAGATTATGTCCTTTTAAGACTGGCATTGAGGAAATTAAAGTCCTACATCATTATGGTGTAAGTGAATATTTATTAAAAAAGATACTACTTTACTGCTACTTTGTCAAATGCAAGCCTTGTAGGTGATGCTGCTCTGCTAGCTTTGAAATACTTGGCTCCAACATTGTCAATGATAATCAAAGAACACTTCTTTGTACAATGTTGAATCAGTTAAAAGCTTTTGTTAATAAGTTAGAGACATGGCTTAAATCAGATTCAGCAAAGTAAGATGAAGGAAAAGCATGCAACTGTACTTTCTCCCAGAGTAGGGATATTACGTTTCAAAACATGATGCTTCCCATCCTTAAATTTTGCTTGAAATATTTCATCACTTTATAATTCAGTGAGATTCTCCTGCAAATAAATATTTACATCAGCAACTTTAACTTCAAAAAGAAATGTCACTCAAAGTGGTATATTTAACATGAATAGGTCACTAAACCCAGTTTGCTATCATCATGCAATGTTTACCATACAATGCAGTGTCATTTTTTTGATTGGTATCGTTCCATACAAGGCAGTAAAGCCACTAAGATATACGGGGTTACAGGGTGTGGAAAAATTAGAAACAGAAGCATTAATAATGAGTGGGGTAAGAATTACAAGAGGACAGTAGATAGTGATTGACACTGCATTTAAATTTTTGAAGATTAAAGTTGGCTGGTAAGCATGGATCTGGAAGGGAATTCCACAGGTGAGAAGTGCAAGAAAAGCAACTGTTAGCATAGATAGATTACAGTTCAGCTGGATAGATGTTACTGCTACATCTATCCAGCTGAACTGTAAATTGATGAGATCTCAATGCCACTCTAGTACTGTGTTTAAATTCAAAATGTTTAGGCACCATAGTGAAAGAAATGCAAGGGAGTTATCTCCCTTGACTGTAAATGTTCACTACATTTATAAATACTATGTTGAGCCTAGTTATTTCTTGCAATAAATACATCTAAAGCAAACTTTTTTCATAGGCCACTAAAATAATATCATGGATGCTCAATTTACTATTGTGAGGACCCCTAAAAATCTTATATGGACTCCGGTTGAAAATCTCTGCTCCAACAACATTAATCATGATGATCATATCAGTTTGAATAAATCTGTATATAAAACAGAACATTCAATATGTGTATAATGCAGCCTCTAATTTCAGTTCTCAACTGTAAAACTTGTTGCATTCTACATCTGAAAATTGTTCAATTGTAGTTTTTGGGGGCTTTTGATGACTTTGTTATGTAGACTAAGATTGATCTGGCTATTTGCTTGAACTTTTCTGCATTGATTTTTTGGGAGCTTTTTGATAGAATTTCTCTCCATTTTGTTTCATTATAATTGTCTCCATTTTGAAACGGCTTGTGACAGAAGATGTGACCTCTGCATCAATGTAATTCACTCTCTATAAGTATACAACTATATTAGGTTGTTGCACATGAAATGATGCACTTCACAAGAAATGAATAAAACGCTTCTGAAATGTTAAATAACTAACTTATATAGTTGAAATGTTTATGAATGACTGTTCTCCAACATACCTCTAAATTCCTGATCCCATCTATAAAAAAAATCTCATCCATTGATGTGATAAACATTTCAAATGCTTTGATTACTTCTTCTGTATTGGAGAATTTTTTATTACATGTGAAAAACTCAAAATGTTTAAATAAGTGATAATCATTAGGAGAGATATCAAGTGAATATGGAGGAGGAGACAAAATTTCATAATTCAGGCTATAGTCAGTTGATTGAGAAGCATGTCTTACAACAAAATTGAGCCATCCCTATTTACAAGTCTAGGATGGTTCTTTTTCAATTTTTTGTGCATAAACTCAATTTCTTCACAGTACAAGGTTGCTGTTATTGTTTTCCTTTGAAGCAAGAATGAATAATAGATAACCTCATAACATCAGGCAGTAACCATTAACTTTTTAGGGTGCAGTGGAGGTTTTAGGCATTATTTTGGTGATTTACTTGCACCTAACCACTGGCCTACTCTTTTACTGTCATCAAAGAGTATCCATTTCTCATCACATATAATGATTTGATGCAAAAATGGTTCTTTTTCCCAGTTTGCACTCATACAGTAAAATTACTTGACATTGTTTCATTGTAATCATTTTCATCAGTCTTTTTTCTCAGGAGTAACAATATATTGAAAGAAAAAGAGTTAGGAATAAGTCAAGATTTTTTTATACAAGGAGGTTACTTATTTTATATAAGTAGGTTACTTTGTTAGACAACCAGATCAACAACCAACCAAAAACTGTGTCATTTCATGTGTGACAACCTCATATAAAATTATATTATATAAATATGCTCTGTTCATAATGTGAAATGAATTTGAAATATGAATAAAATTAATCATGCTTCTTATCTGAAAGTCCAATTGGATTTTTTGTTGTTACTTTTATCATTTATTGATATGTTTTTGTGGATTGCAATATCTCTAGTTCAAATGTGCATGAAACTCATTTAATTCTATTTTATTAAAATGCATTTATTTCATTGTCACAAGAATTACTTGTGTTTTTCTTCAAGTCTTTATCTTTGATATGTTCTTCCTCTAAAGTCAATATAAAGATAGATAGAAAAATAGATAGATAGTAAGGTAGAGAGAGAGAGAGAGAGAGAGAGAGAGAGAGACAGATAGATATAGAATCTTCATTCACTTAAATCAATTTCAGTGCAAAGACCTATTTGGATCATACTAGTTCTAACCAATTTAAAAAGTTCTTAATGCATAAATTTTAGATCTATTCTAAAGAATGTTTCTTTTAAAAAAGATATAAATATATCAACCACTACTACAGTTTCTCCTTTTGGATCTTCAGGTTGGTTTGGTTATTTTTATCTCCTGCCATTTTGTATTACATTCTATATTGTTCCAATACTTGATGATGAAAAAAACAATTTGCATAAATACTTTTGATTTTATTTAATTTTTATTATTAGAATGGTTTCTTTTCCTTTAATTTTCATTTCCTAGTTCCCATTGTTTTAGTATGAATTTCCTTTCATGTTTAAATTTACCCTTAATCTCTTATATTTTGTTGAGCATATTCCTGGGGTCTTTGAACATTGCTATGACTAATTTTTCCACCAAACACAACCTACAAACTTTTGATCCATTCCAATAAGTAGATAGATAGATAGATAGATAGATAGATAGATAGATAGATAGATAGATAGAAGGTGAAACTCTTCACCACAGTCTTTGACTCTAATTCAACATTAGATGACAGAGGACATCCTCCACATCACTGAGCACAATCTCAATAATATTTTTATTACAGCCCTGGAAGTCTCAAAATTTATCAAGTCATGACCCTAAGAGCTACTAGCACAGTCAATATCCCAGTACTTAAAAATATCAACCAGGAATTATCCTCTATTTTAATGAAATTATTTAACTGCTACTTGAAGGAGAAATCCTTACCAAGTCTTTGGAAGGTGTCAAGCATATGCCTGGTTTCCAAGAATACAGGTGAGCACTCATCAGTCTCCTTAGTGTCATTAGCAAGCTTTTTGACATTATAATTAATAAGAAGGTTGTTGATCACCTGAATAGGAACAATCTCATGAGTGACAAGCAATATGGGATTCAATTGTCCCAGTCCTCTGCTAATGTCCTAACTACCATTACTCACAGAATCAGTGAGGCACTAGACAACAAATACATCTCAAGGACCATAGCATTAGATATTTCAAAGGCCTTCGAGAAGGTGTGGCGTAAAGGATCGATGCACAAGCTCTCTAGCTATAGAATCACTGGAAGAGTCTTTCCAGTTAAAAAAAGTCCTTCCTGATAATTAGGTTCCTGAAAGTAATTGTTAACAGCCAGGCCCTAGGAATCAATGTGGGTATTCCCCAAGGGTTACTTCTTGAACCAACTCTCTTTTTACTTTACATAAATGATCTGCCTAAGAGTATAATCTATTAATTTGTGAATATCCATGCTGATGATATTTGGATGCACCTCCCCAAAATCTAGATGATCAGAGATTGACAGTTGATCTTTCTCTTCTGATCTTTTCCTCATTGGGAGAGAAACTGGCTGGTCACATTCAATGCCTCAAAAACCAAACTAGTTACATTCTATCTTCACCATTCAGACACTGAACTATCACTGATGATGATGAATGGATGTTTCCTCTCAGAGGCTACTCATATCTGCATAAACTGTGCCTCTTACTCTTTAACCTGCAACCTCAAGTGGATCATAGGCCTTGTACAAAGTGAACATCATTTTCAAAAAAAGAAAATAAAAAAAAATAGATAGATCAATATAACCAGACTGAGATAGATAGATAGATAAATAGATAAATAGATTGAAATATACACCCTATCTGAAGTTATTAACCAAATCATATAAACTTCAATCATTCAAATTTGGTTTGAAATGAAATTGTCAAATTTTAAACATTCAATTTAGATGTCGAAACAAAGCCAGACTTAAAATTTTAGGCAGCATCAATATGTTTTATTGAAGCTATTGTAATCTTTTGATGTATTCTAAAAATTGCCATCTGAATTTATTAGGCATAACCAAATAATTATATTTACTTCAATAAAATCATCAAAAATTGATCAACACCTATAATAGAACAAATAACAAACACATGAAAAGTTTTTGAATCCTTTACATTTTAATATAGTAACCCTTCTTCTCAATTACAGCCAGTAATCTATTATCCATTGATTTTGTTAATATTTTTTACTTCAACAGCTTCAATTTCTGACATGGTATTTTTTGAAACTTGACTAATGCATGGAATAATAATACAGCACAAAATGTACTTAGAACAAAATGTATTGAAACAAGAAAGTGTACACAAGATTTACATATAGTCTTTTGTATATTCTTGGGAAGACCGTTCCTGGAGAATGTGTTGACTTAGTCGCAGTCGGGCAGAGTCTCTGGATTGAATCTCTTGATTCCTCCCCTCGTCTTCCCGGTACCAACCATATTTATATGGTCGGTACTCCACTATGCAAATTAGGTGGATCCTACCACAACAGTATTTTTAATTGCTTCCCATAAGTCACCTTTGCTGTTATATTTTTGCTACCTTCATATAATTACATCTTCACAACTGACCATAGATTTTTTTATTGGATTCAGATCAGGACTTGATGGTGGCTATACAATTATCTTCCCTTCTGTAAATCTTTTATGCTCAAAGAATTCACAGGTAAGCATGAAAAGGAGCATTGTCATGAATAAATACACACTTCACTTTGAAACTGCAAGGCTGGAACTTGTACCATGCAAAGAAGATCTTCATAAAATTGCAATAGTTAGCATTGTTCAGCTTAAGTCCTTGATCAACTTTGAATGCTCCAAAAATTGTTTGGTTGACAATTTCCAGTCCATATCATAACACTACTACCTCCTTGTTGCCTTCTTTTAGCCATAGGCATGTCTGAATTGGATAAAATCCATTCTTTGGTTCATCCATCAGATCCATCAAATGTCACTCAAGTTTTGCTGTGAAAATTACTTTAAAAAAGTCAATTTACATGTAGTTCTCAGCCCAATTTTGACACTTTAAAATATTTGCATTAATGAGAGGAGGTTGCCTAAGAGATCTTTTTTTACAGATCCCAATTCACAATGTATTCTACACCTTTTGTTCTTCTAGACACTCTCAATTCTTGCCTTTTCAAAGATCTGAGTGATGGCCAAAAGTGGTTGTTTCACTATAACTCACTTTGGTTTGTGTTCATCTTGAAGAAGCAAATTCTTAAAACCTTTTCTTTTGTTTTGAGTTCTTAAATTACTTATATTTTCACAGCCATCTTTATCATTCGATAATCTCTGCGAAGCTCCTTTGATATCTCCAATGAGGACATTCCCTCAATCAATAACTTTATTATTTTCTGTTTTTCAGCAGTTGTTAGATCCTGCCCTTTACCCATATTTCAACATATGGGCAAAAGAAAAAATAGTTTTTATTAGATTTCAGAGGGCTTAAGAGCTAATATTAGTTTAATCTGCTTACTAACTTCAGTCAGTCCATTTTCATAAATTCCAAATATTTCTAATTAACTAATTGTTAAAACTAGTGTAAAATTTAGATAAATATTTTACTAAGGGTGAAAATGAATGAGTTTAAATTTGACAAATATTGGTTCAGAACTTTTTGAGTTATTGAGGTTTTTTGATTTGCATAATAACTTCAGACAGGCTGTAGACATACAGGAAAATAGATCACGATACTCTTAGATGCTTAATAGAAGGAGGGGAGACATTTTTTAGGACATTTTCACCCTATCACATTTACTAGTTTCTTACTTTTTGACCCTTTCAATGATTAACTCCACTTGTATTAAGAAATCTCTGTTTATTGCATATTAAAAAAAAAGATCCACCCTACCACCACAATTATTAAGTTCCCCCCCTCTTGTATTAGGTACCTAAGATTTACTACTTATAGATATGTCAGACATATTAATCTGACTATTAATTATGTTTTTATTCATTTTCCTCTCTTTTTTTTCTAGTCTGAATATTACACTGGTGTATGATGCAATCCCTTGACTTTTGAAAGATTATGTTGCTGTCTCTGTTAATCATTTGGATGTCAGAATAATGCTGATAATGATGATAAATCTTGTATTAATGAAGGCAAATATATTTTCTTCATTATATTGACAAGAATGATGATAAAAATGAAATCTTTTTATTATTAGTGCTGACCTTGGCGATAAGAATGTTTCACTGGCAACACTGATGATAGTGCTGGAATGATGAAAGCTGGTTTTAATCACCATTGTTTTACATTACAAATGATTTAATGCTTCATTTGCACCAGTCATAAGACATTTTTATTTCCATTTCTTTGCCCTTCTTCTAGATTTTTCTTCTCTTCTCTTTACATTCTGCCATGATTCTCTAACTGGTGAAATAAAACAAACAATATACAAATGCAAGCAGAATGCAATTTAAAAGCTTGCCCTAACAACATATGCGATAAGCAAAATAAAACAAAGATTGTAAAATAGGTGGAAGAAAAAAATACTTCTTGATTTATTATTTATTGTTAAAAGTCTCACCCAGAAAATGATTGCATCTTTGTGCAAAAGTTCTGGAAATGTTCAGTTCAATTACAATTTCATCTCATGTTCTTTTATCTATGATTTTGTTTTACTTATATTTTCACCTTTCATTATTACTTCCTTTTCACCTTTATATTTCACCTTTATATTTCCACCTTTATATTTCCACCTTTCCCTTTTTATTTTCTTTTGTATTTTCCTCCATTTTGATTTATTTTTTGACCTTTCTTTTTTTGGCTTTCTGGAATTGTTTTCTGCTTGGATTTCCCATTAAGGAACCTTTATTTTCAACTGGCCTAGTATTCATTTCTTTTTCCAATTCTTTCTTCTATTTCTTTTGTTTAATTTAATTTTTAATGTTTCTCTCTTTTACTTGTTTATTTTCTGAATAGATTTCACACTGAGTGCTGTCAAATATTGGGAATCACCAAGATGTTAATTGCATGTGCTGGATGTTTAAAGTAGTCTTGTTCATACAGATGCAAATCCACACATTGCTTCATCGGGGAAGATTCCTGATATGTTAGAAAGAAATAAGAAAAAGAGAAAAATGCTGCTGCTGCTGCTGATCTTAGAAAAGATTAGAAAATGCATGAAAGGTTAGAGGAAGATAGTAAGAGAAACAGATCATGTCTGAGCAAGGAAGAAAAAAGAGTGAAATAAGAAATACATCGCAAAAGAAAAAAAAAGAAGAAATGGGAAAATATGGAGAAAGAGAAGACACTAACTTAACACAGAAAAGAGAGAAGTAAGCAGAAAAAGATAAAAAAAAAGAAAATAGAAAAGAAGAAGGATGCCTACAATAGATAACAGATCAAAAAGCTGGCATCTTCTTCTGTGTAAGCATCTCCCTTCAGGACATAGAAATCATGACTCTCCACAGCTTCCTATCCTTTGTAAGGTTTGACTTTTTACCATCCCTTCCACCACTGCATACACAACAAGCTCATTAGGTAAAGTTTTCCTCTGCCTCTCTTGCCTTCAATATGTCTTGTGAGTGACAAACTCTCCAAACCCTCTTTCCTCATGTGTTCTAGAAATTTCAACTATCTCTGATACAAAGTGCCATGTTTTTGTTTCCATTATCCTTAAAAGTTTGTTGTTACTCACTTGTTCAGCACATGGGATTCTCAGCTTCCTCCTGTAGAACCACAACTGTTTTTGCCAGTAGGGAAACTTTGTTCCGAACAGAATAATCCATTATTCCTGTCTTTGTGCCAGACTAAGATAAACATAAGAAATACCTAGATGACTCTTTCTAAAGATCAAGTGTTAGTCTTAAGTAGTACAAACCATTGCTGAAGAGATTACTGAGTGCTCCAATAAAGTAGTCATGTGTCAGACAAAGCTAAGTGAATATCAACTCTAGTTCATGCTTCAAACTTAAGAGGAATAAGCTAATCTTTCAAACCACCTATCATACAATAACTTTTGTTCTTGGAGCCCTCTATTCTTGGCCTTTTACCAGACTGAAATATACTTGAGTTGAGTTCAAGAGAAACAAAAGGAGGGATTAAGTTGAAAATAGAGAAAATAATTAGGAATAAAGAGAATATCAAAGAAATCAAGTTGAATTGAGGAACAGATAGAAAGAGTGAAGAAGCTAATAATGGCAGAAAAGATAGTGAGAGGAAAAAATTAAAGCAAACAATTTTGAGCCAGAATGGAAGAAAATAAAATAAAAATGGAGGAATGAAGAAAATGGTAAGAAAGGATAAAATTTGAATGAGAAAGAAACAAAAGATTAACCACTGAAGTAGATAAAAGTTTTGCAAAGTAGAATATTTATTAATCTATATATATATATATATATAATTATTTATTTAAAAATTATAACATAAATATGTTGTAAAATCACTACAAAAATAGCCATTTTGTTTCAACACCTCCGGTATCTTATCAAGTGATGATGTTGAATGTAAAATAAATGTTTTTTTATTTATTTTACATTCAACACAATCACTTGATAAGACACTGGGGGTGTTGAAACAAAATGGCTATTTTTGTAGTGATTTTATAACATATTTATGTTTTAATTTTTAAATAAATAATTATATCTGCTCTACTCTGTATTGAGCACTCTTTTAAGAATAGTAATTATTGGTTATTGGAATTCATTCTGTATACACCAATCATATAATATATATATATATATATATATATATATATATATATATATATATATATATATATATATATATATATATATATATATTGTTTTTAAATCTCTACTCTCCCATTCAAGGCAGTAAAGTCATTAAGGCACAATGGGTTGCAATTAGGAACAGAAACATTAATAATAAGAGAAAAGAGGAAAGAATAATTAGGAGGATAGTAGATAGCAATAGACATTGCACTTAAATTTTTGCAGATTAAAGTGGGCTGGAAAGCATGTTGCTGGAAGAGAGTACAACAAGTGAGAAGTGTGAGAAAAGAATGTGTTATTATGGAATTTATGTTTATATCAATACATCTCAGTTGTAAATTGGTGATATATCAATGTCGGTCTAGAACTGCTCTTAAATTCATAAAGTCTAGGCATCATTGGGAAGAGCTGATTTGAACAATTACTATGAAAAGATTTATAAAAAACACAGAGAGAAGCAACCTTATGACAATAGGAAAGTGATTGCAGCCAAATCACCAATCATGACCAATAATTCTTGCTGATTCTTCTTTGAATTTTGATCAAAAAGCTCAAGATAAATAGTGTGGACATTGGATCATCTGTTATATATATATATACTATATATATATATATATATATATATATATATATATATATATATATATATATATATATATATATATGTGAAAAGTGTGTATATATATATATATATATATATATATATATATATATGTGTGAAAAGTGTGTGTATATATATATATATATATATATATATATATATGTGAAAAGTGTGTGTATATATATATATATATATATATATATATATATATATATATTATATATATATATTTATATATTATATGCGGTACTTATTAGAAAAGCGCTCAATATCAGAGATAGAGTTAACATATTTGGTTGGATTGATGTGAATTTGTGACTAGCTCTACACTTTTGATTTTTTTGATTTGTGTATTGAACATTTTTAAGTAAAAACGTTTCCCAGAGAGGGTAAACGTTGTCTATAAAAAACAGTTTTATTGTATATACATATAAAAATATATATATATATATATATATATATATATATATATATATATGAAAGTTCTTTAGTATTTTTGTTATTATTTTTAAAAAATAGTGCTCGATACAAGAGTAGAGCATAAATATAATTATTTATTTAAAATATGATTCCAACACTACATAAGAGTTCTCATGTTTCAAAACAAGAGCCGAAAACTTTAATATAATTATTTGACTTAAATTGAATTAAAGTACTAAGCTCTGTTCCATCTTCAAGCAAAATTTTTACTGGAATAACTTATTCCTGAAATTTACGCAATTGCTCTAGCCGTTACCATAGTAATCTTAATTTCAATAATGAATATGCTTATAAAACGCGTAAATTTCAGGAATAAGTTATTCCAGTAAAAATTTCGCTTGAAGTTGGAACAGAGCTTAGTATTTTAATTCAATTTAATTCAAATAATTATATTGAAGTTTTTGGCTCTTGTTTTGAAACATGAGAACTCTTATGTAGCATTAGAATCATATTTTTTAAATAAATAATTATATATATATATATATATATATATATATATATATATATATAATAAACGGTGTTCCAATAACTTGGACTGATTTTAAATGTGAATTAAGTTTAAACATCTAATGATTTTTTCTTTTTCTTTCAGATCTGCTTGACTTTTGGGCGATATTATTAAGAATCTGAGGGAATGGTGGATAATTCAGACAGTTTTGAAGACCTGCATGAGCATTATCAGAAAAAGAATTTTATTTCACAAGAACAAAATTTGTGGTAGTGAAACAAAACATGATTCCTGTTTTATTATAGAAATTAAATTTCAACAAATTTCAATTCAGGTTTATTTATTTATTTGTTTTTATTTTTATTTACCTTTATTTATCTTAAATAAAACAATAAAAATAAAATATTAAGTAAAATTTATTTATTTTAAATAAATGAAAAATAAAAATAAAAACTGTGTTGCCATTTGTTAAAATTTAATTTTTATAACATTACTAGATTGGCTATTAGGTCTCACTGTTTTACTGTTGTACTATCTAGGTGCAACAGTTTCTTCTATTCTAATAATTTCTTTTCTTACACTTCTCACCTATGGAACTCCTTTCTGATTTCTTGCTTCCCTTTCACTTATAAGCTTCAAAAATTTAATTGCCAATCACTATCTTCTATCTTCCTGAATTATCTTATTTTATTGTTCTTTTTTCTCACTTCTCCTCATTAAAGTTTTCTCATTCTCTCTCATTTCCTGTAATTTCTTGCATCCTAGCACCATTATTGTCTTTCTTGGAATGAAATGACGAAAAATTTACAGTTAAAGTAAAAATCAAGCATTTAGATGCTTTATGTGAATTACATTTTGACTCAGTGTAGATTTTGTTCTCATCAAATAAAATTCTTTTTCTAACAATCCCAGATTATCAGTGAAACATATCAAAGTTGTCATATATATATATATATATATATATATGTGAAAGTAGATCAATAAATGTGTAGCCTGATGCAATTGATTAAATTTTGATCTGAAATTTCCACTGGATGATGTGATTAATGGATAAGCATTAGGATAAGCGCATTGACAAGGAAGAAGATTATTCTGAAAAATAAATCTTTGTTGAACAAAATACATGTTTTGTTTTTTTTCATTAGTAGTCTACAAACCTTATGACATACTTACATACATCTATCCAGGTGAGAAAGAATAGTGAAAGATCAAGAAAGGAAAAGAACAAACTGAATTTAAATCTTATTCAGAGCTGATCCTCACCATGTTTCAATTTATAAGATTCCAAAACTCACATAGACCAGTATCTTCATCATTGATGTTTTAATCATTTTCAAAATATTTTCCAACCATTCTCATATTATTTGTAGTTCTGAGATGAAGTATTGTCATGATACCATGAACAATTCAAGCATGTTATTATGATCACAATGCGTTAGTGCATTTTACAGCATTTCTTGTGTTGCATGAAGTTGTTTCTATTATATCATTTATTTGGGCTGGTATCATCAGCTTTACTTTCTTCATTCAAGTATCAAATATTGTTATACCTTCTGGATTTTAGTTCCATTTATGTTAGTTCAATATTCAACTCTTCATATGTATATCAAATACTGTCATCTATGAATGGTGGATATTACCTCATTCACCGATGGTTTTGATTCAGTTTTTCAAACAAAATACCAACATCATCTGCCAATCACTTACCTCAATCTCACATGGTTTTTGCTCCCATTTATGTGCCATCTTCTATGCTTTCCATATATATCAAATACTGTCATGTATGAATGGCATATCTTACCTCATTCACAAATGGGTTTTGCTACATTTTTTCAAACAAAATATCAGCATCCCCTCCAATCATTTACCTCATTCTCACATGGTTTTTGCTCCCATTTATGTTAATGCCATCTTCTATGCTTTCCATATATATCAAATACTGTCATCTATGAATGGCATATCTTACCTCATTCACAAGTGGTTTTTGCTACATTTTTTTAGACAAAATATCAGCATCCCCTGCCATGTGTGCTCAAAAATATGACTCAATACAAAACTTTTCAAGAGAATGATTTCGAATTGGAATGAAAGCAGTGACAGTACGTAATCTAAATCCATCATA